TAGCAGTACGGAGGAATGACTTCCGCATTGGAAACTCGGAATGTTCTGCAGCTCGGAGCTGTTCGCTTCTCCGTTTGCGGTCAAGACGCCCTCATCGAGACGCTTGTGATCTTAATGAGCTCGACTCGATTTTAATTGGAACATATCGTTCAATTTATAGATGCGCGTATTCGAAGATGCCACGTTTTTAAATATTGAAGATATCCTCTGTTAGCTAGCTGGACGATCTAAGTGGCGCACGTGTATTACCGACGACGAGTGTTACAAATAGTCACGCAAAACGCTTAGCTATTTAAATTTCATTCCGACCGACTTGTGTATTGTACCGTTACTTTTTCCACCGACCCTTCAAATATTCCGCGGAACGCGCTTACTCAAACCGTTTCGAAACTCTCACCGTGTCCGGATTGTCTTGTTGTCGACGAACCAGCTTGACATATCTCTCCAGTACACCGACTTCCATATGCCTCTTGTACTGCTCGTCGTCGATGGTAATACCAAGTGGAAGAGACGCCGACTCAACACGTCGCGACAAACACCGGCACTGGACATACCGAGGAACGAGGAGATCACTCGCTAATAACGCACTTACGAAACATCCCGACGATCGCACATCGCTATTTCCAATAATCCCGATACCAGGTTCGTTTTTCTCTTTTTTTCGAAGAAGAATTTCCCCTGAACTGATGCACATTGCTGCAATAAGTTGCAGTAAGGCTCGATCTACAATAGATGGAGTAAGGAGTAGGAGTAAGAAATAAGCAGTAAGCAAATTGACCAATTCCACTCTTACGTTTCAAAAATAATCGATTGCGATTGGTCTGTTTACTTACTGCTTATTTCTTACTCCTACTCCTTACTCCATCTATTGTAGATCGGGCCTAAAACAGAATATACTTATCTCACTCCAACTCATTGCATCAGTGCATACCGGTTCAAGAAGTTCTTCGAAAAAGTGCAGGCCTAATTTCCGCGCGAGACTCACTTTCGACGGACAAAACACGCGGAGCGATGTCGATCTAATCAACTTCAACTTCAATAACTGGCTCCAGGCTTCTCTAAGAATTTTGCCTCAACGCCATTACACGACGATTTTGGTGTCAATACCGACTGCCCGACGCAAAGAGATCGATATCCAAGATGGCCGCGCAATCGTTTATGTGCGCCGAAAATGCACGCAACGACAGCAATGAACATTGCTGCGCTCCAATAGCGCACTCTGTGCACTCTGTTCTACGGGTGTCTTGCTATTCGATAGATCGATATTTACTGGATATTTTCTAGTAACCATATTCGTTTCTAGCTACGCATTTACCATGACTGTTGATTAGTCCAAAAAGTGGAAACGTGTTTCTTGGGTTAATCAACAGTCATGAGAAATGCATAGCTAGGTACAGATGCAGCTGGTTGGAAATGTTTAGTAACTATCGATCTGTCGACGGTAAGACATCTGCGAGATTGAGTACATACGCACTGAGAAAAATATTTAAGAAATAAAATATATGTTTATATTCGGTGTGGGTATTAATAATAAATTTATTATATTATAAAGTATTTTTCAAATAAGAAAATATACACTTGAAGAAAACGATATTTCAAAATTTATTTGTGGAACAAAAGTTTATTTACAGCAAATAAATTGCTTCCGTTACAAGTTGAAAAACTAAAGTTTTAAAAAAATATACACTGAGAAAAAATACTTGAAAATTTATTTGTGAGTTACAAATTTGATTCACAAAAATAAACTTTACTTCATAAAAATAAACTCTATATCTCACAAATAAATTTTTAAGTATTTTTTCTCAGTATACATTTTTTTAAAACTTTAACTTTTCATAAAACCAATTGTTTCATTTATTTAATAAAGCAAAAGAATTTAGATTTAAGTAAATATGTTATTAGTACCCACCAAAATAATTTTTATTTTTAGATGTTTTCTTTCAGTGCGAAAATTGTGAAAGTTGCGTTAGTAATGTTTGTACATTGCGAAAGGCAGGTTCTTCACGAACGTGACATACAATAAATGTCCTTGGTTTTCATTTAAAATAATTCAAAAACGTGTACAAAAGCATGTCGCTCTTTAAATGTTCAATGTTAAAATCTGGACGAATAAATTCGCTCACTTAACTTATTTAGTATCAAATATCGTTAATTTTCTATTTTTTTTTCAATTAAACAACAAGCGCATACACAGACAGGATTTTATTATCAAACATCGTTAATTTTCTATTTTTTTTTCAATTAAACAACAAGCGCATACACAGACAGGATTTTATTATCAAACATCGTTAATTTTCTATTTTTTTTTCAATTAAACAACAAGCGCATACACAGACAGGATTTTATTATTCATTAACCGCCTTTTTCCTGCAACGTCTATTTGCTCCGAAACATGAGTGAATGATAAATGGAGTATTTTTTGACATTGACGAGACGTCACTTATAGCACCGCGTTGCGCAACGGGGACCGCGACAGTTTCTATTGCAATTCCAAAGGTGTTCCCGGTGACGAAATAAAGGCATAGACACGGACTCACCGCAGCTTGTCGTCTCGCAAGTCGACTCCCCCCTCCCCCACCCCAAGTATTTTCCGGATCGTTAAACATCGTGTCGAGCAAGCATGTCGCTCATTGACCCTCGTGTTCCAAGGATGTCCCATGGAAATCAACCGGTAAAGACGTCATCGTGCGAAATAATCACGTGTGATGATTGCTAGTTCTAAGAGTTATGTCTTTGAATGTATTCAGAATGCGTTTCACGATGATAAAAGCGATAGTCTCTCATTAAATGCGTAACAACATATGTAAACATTTACATGCGCGATCGCGCGGATCTAATCTATCAGGGTGTAGATTTTGCGATTTTTTTTTATACGGCACACGTTTGCCGTCGTTATCGTCGGCAGACGTGATCTCTCCTCCCCTCTGACCGAAAATCGAGCATCATTACGAAAAGACGAGGATCTCGCGTTATTCGGAGACTCCGGGAGACACGCGCGAGTGTCACTCGAGACAAGACGGATGAGAAACTGCGCGATCCTCTCTCGCGACAAAGAAACTAGACGGACTAGGCAGCGAAATCTTGCAACAACGAAAACGCGCTATATGCCCGTATAGTAATTTATTACCGACATGAAGCTATCACTAGACATGACTCCATTATCCTATCGTATCGCATGTTCCCTACAGGACAATATTTCTAGCTCAGAGCGCGAGAAAACTATGTATTTTCACTCTCTATAAATAAACAATATTCTCTCACTATCCCGCGTATGCATTTCATGTGTATTTAATAGATTTGTATTCCTGTACTTTTGAACGGAGAGAGTGTACAATTCTATTAAATAGATGCGGATATTTCACCAAATCGGTCAGTAATGAAAGCGCCGTTGTTTAGTTCCCTTCTATATTATAGATTAGAATTAATTTCATATTATCCCGCTTTCACACACATACACACACACACGAAATCTGAAAATATATTCAAACAGCTATGACTATCTGTAATTCCATTATCATGTATTATATGTTTTTGTACAGGGTGATATTTCGAGCTCAAAGTGTGGAAAAAGAACTATATATTTTGTTAGAATATTCTTCTTCTCTCCGTTTCGCGTACATTTCGTGTGTACTTAATCAAATTTCTGAACTTTCGGAGTGTACAATTCTATTGAATAAATCGACACGAACATTTCGCCAAATCGATCAGCAATAAAAGCGTCGTCGTTTAATTCCCCCTACATTACAGGTTAGATCGAACCTGATATACATTAACCTGACTTCTTCTCACAGTCTGAAGATACATTCGAACAATTCGAAACGCGCGGAGATTGTTATAATTCGAACGTAAGATGCGAAACAGCGCGCCACGCAGCGGTGCTACACGAAGTTGGGCGACGAAGCATTGCGAAGGGCAAGCAAGAAAAACACTGTTTACTTTTTTTGCTACGTATATTATTCCGGCTGGCTGCCGGCCGAGCTATCTGAATGAACGAGAATTTGCGAACGTGACGAATTCACAGACAATTTCGTTCGCATTATTCGAGTGAGCTGTCCGAACCTCCGACAACGAGCTGCTCGAACATTCCGCGTTACTAGAAAATTCGGATCACTTGTCCTAGTCTAAGCAGAGAACTTTCGATCAGACATCTTTGATCCCGAGATCAAATATGTCCCTGAGCACCGTATCGTGGAGCTCTCGCATGCAAATGTCTACGGAAATGCTACTCACCGGGATGATGCGTCGCGCACTCCTCGCTTCCCTCCTGCCGCCGGTATGGCTCCGCTGAATCCGTCCCCACAGCCGTCACACAGAGATACGGTCACACACCTCGTCGTCACGCACTGCGTCGAGCTTCTCGTACGCGACTCCACCACGACCCGCCAATTTCGGATTGACGGACAGACAGACGGATCGGACGCGATAGACTCGAGCGCGTCTTCCTCGTGCACGCGGCAGGCACCGTCGCGGAGCCGCGCGACCCGGGACTGAGTGTCTCTCTCTTGCACGAGAGCGCCGAGCGCGGAGATACGTTATCGATACGGGCCTCGGGCCGACATGCACTGACTGCCGCGACGGCCGCCTCTCGCGCATCCCGTCATCGGTAAGGAGAGCGCGCGCGCGCGCGCACATCCACGGTCGTGCGACGCCGCCGTTCGCGCGCCGCAGCGACATCTGTCGGACACCGCCGGAACTACGTCAAGCCCGCGACGGAGCGCGAGTGGAGCGAGCAATCTTGAATTCGAATTCAATTTTGTTTGCTGCGTAGAAAAGCGCACCTAAAATGTTCAGTGCAATGCGTTGTCTCGCGAACATCAAAAGAAATCATCATTTCTTCATTATCATTACGTATTGTTATGGGATTCACCAATCACTTATAATGAGATAATTGTCTTGAATAGAAATATTTTAATGTTGCGTGCAAAGAGAGAGATTATGACAATCTCTTAAAATGACACTTGATGAAAGAAATATATATTTTCCAAATAGGTATAGGGGAGACTTGTCAAAATAGATACGATTGCATTCTCTGCTTTATCCGCATAAGAAAACTACCTCGCGTGTTACCGACGACAATCGATCGATGTAAATGTAACTGTCGCTGTTTCAGCTTTATGTTAACACGCGTCTTCACTTTATCAACACATGATCGTTAGAATTCGCGAGTAGAGTCTTGGACAGGAATCCTCATTCCCAGGAAAGCGGCCGAGTAATTTCCTTTGCCGGGATCGTCGAATACGACCTTGTCGTTGACCACCCAGCGGCTGTAGCGAATTTCCGAGACAAGATTGAAGCCCAATTTCGTCGCCAGCGATTGACTGAGGCCCGATGTAAACACACCACCGATTGCTGGCATTTTCAGCGTGGAAGCAACCTGGACGCAGGCTGCCAGAAGGGACGTACCGATGCCTTTTCTCTGATAAGACGGATGGACGCAGAGAATATAAATACGAAAATATACGTCGCTATCGAATTCTCTATATGCATTCGTTTGCTTTATCACTGCATTGATAAGATGCATAATATCTTCCAGAGTGTCCCCTTCGAATTTCTAGAATAAACAAAATGACAGAAGTCATTAGATAAAGATTATCTATGCAATTCTTTTCTCATAATACAAAATAATAGTTTCATAATAACAAAACTGCGTAGTATATGTTTAAATAGTTACATGGAAAGGTTTTGTAATAAAAATTACTATGAAATTTTGTAACCGAAAAATATATCGACATTTTGCAGTAATTAATTATCCTTTCATTTCACATGTGCTGTTCATATTCAGAAATCGAAAATATTTGTTAAAAAATTTTAAGAACTATTGATTCCTAATAAAATTTATAAACAATTTTAGGAAATATTAACTAAAATATGCTATTAAAATATGCTACTAAAATATTCAAAAATTTACTATATTTTTAGCAAATTTCCAGTAAAATTTATTATGCTTTTTAGTAAAATAAACCTTACTGACATGTATCCTCCTATACAACTAGAAATATAATAAATGCAAAAAAGTTTAGAAATGGAAAAAAAATTATAATATAATCTCTATGTAGATATTTAATATTCTTTAGTTATCACAATTAATTTTATTTTATACTTACTAGTATACGATTATACGTATCAGATCTATCCGATTCACTGTTGACTCGAGTAACAGCGACTCCAATAACACGCCCCGATGTTAAACTGAGCGCGACCAAACTGGTGCTGTCCTTCATCCATGTTTTTATGAGATCCAGGAACGCGTTTACAGATCTCGAGTCTTCCAGCAAGGAAGCCGCCTTGCACATCGGTTCTTCTCGAAAGAAATGATGCTGTGCAAGGAACAAAGTCTCTCATTTTTGTATATTCATAAGAGATCACGTCAAATTGTTTATTTCGATGTTACTCCTCGATCGTATTGTATCGTAAAAATAATTATTGTTGAATAAAGTACTATCAATCCATTTAATTTGTCTAGCTTTTCAAAGTGACGTGATCTTCCGCAATAAAGACTGAGTAACGCACGGATTACTTTGCAAACAGATAGAATAAACATGATTTTCCAGCTAGAGTCCGGCGGAAAAATATTTTGCAAGTGAAACTACTATAGAGGAAAAATATGGAGAAGGTCAAGAAACAGGAAACATGTTTGCCGTTGACGTGTTTTCTGTTAAACGGAGTTCATAATTAACGTTCCCGAACTATCGCACGGATATTTGTCCCAAGTTTTCCTACTCGCGCTGCTAAACTTTTATCAAGCGCAAAGCTTCCTCGTACTGCGCTGCCTTAAGATCTTGGATCTTGCATGGCGCAAGTGATTTCCACTGTAGAGGCGCATATATCCTCGCTTCCATCTCGAGCATTAATTCATCCTTCTTTTCCTCTTCCATAATTATACTACTCGCTTCATCTCACACAATACTATTAATTCCGTAATAATGATAATTAACCACGAGTAAACGTCATTTAATACCGGCTGAAGCATGCAACGTATCAATTGTATTCCTCAAAATGGTTTTTATCGATTCTCGATCTAATGCAAAGTATGTTGTATGTATAATACAATCTGGAAACATAGTCTTAATATTTTATAATCTTAATGCCAAACAAATTTTTCTATTACATGCAATGTGTCCACATATTGGAGAAAGTAACTCCGTCGAAATAATCAACAATCATGATGCACGAATATGCACACTCATTACGCGCAATCGAAATTTGTTTCTGTAAAATGTTAAAGTTTCCCAGATTGTGTACAAAAATGTATCTCACAATCAGTTACGTGCATGCATTCCAATTGTATTTCTTTTTGAGTAAAATCTTACTACAAATCTATAATTCACGTCACATATACTATGAATTTTCCTCAAAAAAGACGTGTTAAAATATAATCTTAGAATAAGTTTTAAAAATCTCACATTTAAACAAATATTATCGAACATCAACAAAGATCATTAGAAAAATATAATAAAAAATATCCTGAAATTTAAATCTCCGTCGCTTTATAGAATGTCATAATTTAGTGTTAGATAAGGACAAACCTCGATAAAAAATTCCGAACCTGAATATTACTTCACACCTTGCGTGTACCTAACGTAGCATTGCATATCGTGTTACCTCACAGCTCTTACCAAGAAACAAAAACAGACTTGACGGCGTCGAAGAAGTGAAACGGATACTTCGATAATGTTCGTAAAATATTTATTAACTTGTTATTTGCACGTGTATGTATCGATACTTATCCAATTATTTATTTTTATTGTATGTGTTATTTACTAAATGTATTGCAGTGTCTGATTATTTAAATTTTATTAAAAATATTTTAGCAAACATACAATCGATTTCAAGTATAAAATTAAAATGTTATATTAAAAAATTAATACAAATACTTGATAATAATATAAGTGTGTATATACATTTTTGTCAACAAAATTTCAAATTATATGATTATTTAGTACTTTATATTTATACTACTTATGCATTTCCTTACATATTAAACACTGAACACATAGCAAACATAGAACAATAGTTTCTTACAAAAGTGATAAGAAGAAAACATGCGGAAACGCGATTAAAAAGAATAACCATTCTACTCCATGTTATCCTTATACTCGATACATGTACATGATGTACAATGAGAAAAGAAATATCTAGAAAATATATTTATTTGGTGGATACTAATAACATATTTACTTGAATCTGTATTCTTTCAAATAGAATAAACAATTGTTTTCACGACAAGATTTTAAGAAAATGTATATTTTTATACATGAAAAATATTTTATATTAATATAAATAAATATGTTATTATGGTATCTACCGCGAATAAATATTTACTATTTCTTAGATATTTTTTCTTTCAATATGTATGATATAAATCACAACTCGTCCTTAATTTCATGTTCCATTTCGTTTCCAGTATATTTTTGCAACGACAAGCTATCCCAAAATTTCAATCTCGTCGGGAGGGGATCTTGTTCCATGGCGATCTTTGACTTTCCTATGTACAAATATTCGAGAGCGTTCGACGTTTTCACCGGCTTCCACTTTACGGGGATTTCCCCTGTGATCTTTGGTGTTGGATTCCTGCAAAAATTCAATTGAACGTCCTGTCAGCGAATTACCCAACGACTTGATCTCAACGAAAGCAAAAACTTGTAATTATAATTACGAGAATATGGCTTCCACTCGTAGCTTTAATGTATTCAACAACAATTAAGCTTTGATATTTTAATACTTACCCTGAGTTCGCAAAATTGAACCAAAGGCTGGTCATAACATCGATCATGCGATGATCCTCCTTGCTTAACGGCGTGTCTTGGAATAATTGTTCACCCACGGGAAACAGATATTGCAAATCGTCCGCATGTGATACTCCGTAATCCTTAGTAGGATCGCCGAATAGGCTGCTGAAGGACGCGCTTCCTCTGTACGCGAAGTAGTAAAAATATGTGGGTGAAGATTGAGTGTGGAGATAATCTTGTACAGATGTGTAAGCGGCGTGAGTAAACCATGCGTCGCTATACAACTGCAAAATTAGAAAATCATATTAACAAGCTAATAGACAATCGTATAATAACAGATAACCGCAATTTAATTTAATTTAATTTAAACACTTGTGTATGAGATAAAAACGTGTGATTATAATTTATTCTCAACTTTATATGTGTGTGTGTGTGTGTGTGTGTGTGTGAGTTAATGTAATGAATTATTCGACGATTTATACTCACGTCGATGAGTTCGTGCCTGGTGGATTCGTCGACGGCGCGATCGCCAAAGTAAAACTTACGAATCTTCCTAGTTATCTCGTCGTGCATAGATTTAGGACACCTCTCATCGAACAACAAACTGATAGGAATTATGGTCTTGAACTCGTCATTCAGTTGCTTTACTGTTTTGCTGTCCCTGTAAATATCTGGAAAGCATCGTGAACTCTTGCATAAAGATACGATGACCCTTCATCAACATTTCATTGTTCATATGTAATTTACAGAAAATTACACATCTCGGGATATCATTATGGCGCTTGATAGCGTTCACGGGGAAATTCTTGAGGAGATTCGCATGGTCAATGTGTAAAAAACCAAAAAGCTCAACGCGGAGAAAGTTACTTGTTATTCAGGGACGCATGGTGACTTTTCGATACTTGAAACGAATAATATTTGCTTTAAGCCGAATAATCTCACCAATAAAGTTTTACAAAGTTAGTAAAAAGTTACAAAGAAAAATAATTCTTTTGCTTACTATTTTGCTAATGAATAAATACCTACAAAAAAAATTATTTTGCAAAATTTTCTCCTAAATTTGTTCTTCCTTTTAAATTGGAGTCTTATTGTTCACTCACGTGGTACTCGCAGGGATCCTTCTTCCGACGTGATCCCTGACATCCAAGGTATATCAGCGATGCGGCCGTGTTTCGTGGAGATTATAGGATCCTCCGTCAAAAAAGCACCTGGGTGATTGGGCTCGATCACCGGTCTGAAGGGTATCATCGGGCAATAACCGAAGACCTGCGATAAGATACGGTTAATTAAATAAAATTATATGAAACTGTCGAAGAGTCAGAGTGTACATAAATCATAGTACATAAAGCATAAGTGTACATAAAACAGTTTTCTTGACAATAAAAAGATGATACGTGGATGCAAGAAGACAATATATCACGATAAATTATACAAATACGACATTAAATACATAAATACGGATTTTACGAAGCAAACACTGTCTTTATCTGTGTCTTTATCAGGATAAATAATTATTTAGTCTTTCTTTCAGTCTCTTTCTTTTATTACTACTTTCAGATCGCAACATTTGGCTCATATGCTTGCAGTGTGATTGTTTTTCCACGTTAAAGTCAACGAAAATAACTCACTAGAATATTCGCAAATTCCCATCGTTGATGCTGTAATCGTTTGGCTCAAGGTTTCTTTATGAATAATTCAAAGTTTGTTTATCGGGTGTGTATCATTTGTATGAATAATTTTCTACATTTTATTTCATGCAACGTCAATCGACGATAGAGACGTCAAACATGAAGCACGAATAAAAAGAGTGGAAAACACACAAACGGGAAAACACATGATCGACACACACAAATATATATGTATTCGCCAAACTGGTTTCTCATATTGGCAGAACATGAATATTTGTTCAGTACATCGCGTCTCAATTAGATATTCATTTTTACTCGATTATTCATTTTTATGAGCAGTTAGTATAAACAGAAAATTATCTCGGACGAAAGAAATTTCCACAGCGCTGCTTATAACAACGCATTACGTTGAAAATAACTACATCGAAAATATATTATACGTAAGAACTTTACAAATATATTATACGTAAGAACTTTACAATTAAAAGAAAAATACGCTGTATATGTGTTGAAAAAAGAAATATCTAAAAAGTAAAAAATATTTATTCAGTGGGTATTAATAACGCATTTACTTGTACTAATATACCTATTTTTCATTGAAAAAACACTTTTTCAAATGAGAAAATATATATTTTTTTAAAAATCGTTACTTTTCACGAAAACATATTTATTCTATTCGAACAAAAGAATTTAGATTTAAGTAAATATGTTATTAGTACGCGCCGAATAAATATTTTCTATTTTACAGATTCTTTTTCTTTCAGCATAATGTAATTTAATATATATTTAAAACTAAGTCTCTCTCTCACGTTAAAAAAAATATATATATATTTTTTTGCCACAAAAATATATTATAGTTTAGTAATCTCGGTAATTGTATATTGTGTTACATTATAAATAATACGATTGAAACATTTCACACAATGGGTCGTTATACATATATATTTTTTTTTCAATCTTAACTTTGCATCGAAACCTACTTATTCTGATGTGCAACATAGCGAAACCATCGCGTGACTGTCCAAGCATAATTTACGTGCAGCCATATCGATGAAGTGTCTGCCTGTCAACGTATATAATTTCTAAGACTGATGCACGCGCAGATATAAGACTCAGCACGGGTTATCTTACGGTTGCGCTTTTAATGGTTACGCATGAATGCGTTGAAAACATTTTAAGCAAGCACGAAACGCGAGCATTGCGAGCTCGCCTATCTCCGCCGTTGATTTAATCTTAAGCGTATATTTAAGCGAGTTAAATCAAAATTCAACTATAATAACCTACGTTGCGAAATTTTCTTAGCTTTCAAATATAATCACGATTGCGTTAAAGATCTATCAAACTTATCCACGCGTCTTATAACTTCATATCTACTGTATAGGTAGATTAATAATATAAGTAGTACTGTATAAGTATATAAATTTTGATTTAATGCATAATCCACTGAAATTTACAAATAAGATCAGTCGAAATATACAAAATAAGAAACAACATGTTCATATATGGTATTGATATATGGTATAAAATCTCTTAAATATCAATTAAGATTTGAATGAAGACATCACTAGATCACTATCAAGATGAATTAATATATATATAAAATAAAATATCTATCTATCTGTGTGTTCTCCATTAACTTTTAAACCTTTTGACCGATCTGGACTAAATTTTATATAGTTACTCTTTAGGATCCTGTGGAAAATATAAATTATCATGTAAAATCTAACTTGGACATCCCATCTATTCATCCAGATTTAATCTCCTTTACATTTTGTAATAATTTAGGCAACGACGGCTGGTTTAAGCTAATAAGCTATAAAATGCATGGACAGCTCATGCATGATAAATGAAAAGTTACCTAACGCGGAGAGTAATTATTGACCTGAATCGATAATACCGATAACTAATTCATGCGAATGATTAGCTCTTACTAATCGACATTATTTAATTTTATATATATAAATATATATATATATATATATATATATATATATAT